AAAGGAAATCCTGGTAATATGCTTTTGCTTCCTGCATCTCACTACTTACATGAGCTATCACCTAAGGGGACTGGGACTACTTTCACTTCTTTAAAAGTGCCTATGTTGAGACTGAAGCATACTACTTAACATTATTAAGCTAATAAAAATAAGTGGAATTCAAGCTGGATGAGACTACAGAGACAGAAGTGCTGCAGATATAAAGAGAAAGATTCCCTGGTATTACCAAACCATGGAAAAGAAAGAGACTTATATAAAAGGCAGTCCTACCTCTAGGAATGAACACTGAACTCTGTGCCTACTTTGGGGCAAGATGGAATCAATGCAACTGAATGTACTAGAGAGGATTCCTCCCAGCTAATAATGTAAAGGCAGAATTTCTTGCTCTGAGGAGAATATAGAATAAAAAGAAATTAAAGAAGCAGTAGAAGACAGCTTGTTCTAAAAAAGAAATAAAACCAACACAAAACTGCCAAAAAAAGCCAGGACTGCTTTCCTGCAGTGAAATTCACTGCGCCATGAAAAAAGCTATATCAGGTACCACTAAAATTCTTCTTTTTATCCATCACCAAGAAGTCCTTCCATTCCTTTCTACTTCCTTCCTTATAAATAATGTCAATAAATAAAAAATGCTGTCTCCTAAAAAAGAAATGTTTGGGACATATGAACATTTTGATTTGTTTTCTTCCTCCCCCAGAGGTACACTCCAGGTAAAGTTTCACTGAAAACTGACAGCAATCCCCAAAAGAACTTCTAGAACTTCAGTTTTGAAAGCACTGATGACAAAAGCGAAGTTGGACACGGCAAAATTCATCACAGCACACTGAAACAAACTCAAACTGCTACCCACCATATTTTAGACTCCATAGAAATCAAAAGGTGCTTCTAGAAGACCACACTGAAGTGTTAATTCTCAATTGTTCTCCTCCAAACTAGGAAAACACGACTCATGCATAGGAGTCAGTCCTGTATCTAACACTGTCCAACACATAAGTAATTCAGATGATACAACAAAGGAAATCTTAATAAAATCTACCACCTATACAAAACCTAGATAAAGCATAGCACGGTAGAACACAGGATTATAATTCAAATGTTATCTGCACAAAATGAAAAAAACAAACAACAAAACCAAAAACACCCCAAAATACTTTGAACAGGGAGCACTTCATTAAGGAGAAGTGCAAAGTAATACAGCTAGTAGGAATAATCAACTGCAAAAATTGAAGACAGGGATCAAGAGAGCGTTTTGCAGTTCTGCAGAAAACAAGTAAAATAATAGACCACAAAATGCAGATATTGTCAGTGTTAACATTTAAAAAAACAATACTGAGTTGTAAAATAAGGAGCAAAATATCTAAGGCACAGGGAATGCTAACTTTTTTCTTAACTACAAGATGAGAAAGTTAGATCAATCGGACTGCAAAGGAAAGAATAGACAATCTGGAAGATTTATTTATTTATTTTAATTACAGCATATTTGTTTTTAAATCAGTCTAGAGAGTAAGGGAAGACACAGATATTCCAGATACGTAAGAAGCTTTACTAACTGTAGGGAAATGCTTGTATACGTATTTATGCTAGATGTGTAAGTACTGAGGTTCAGAACTCAGGAACATAGATTTAATTTATAGGAAAAAAATAGAAAAAATCTAACCATAGATAACCACTGTCATGTATATACAAGACCTGCTGCCAAAAATTAAGAATATATTAAGAAAAGGCAGTGGCTGCCCAACTTTTTCAGCCAGAGAACCAACACCAATTAGACCCCCAAACTCTGCAGATAACTACTGAAACTGAAGATGTCTTGCTAGCATACCATTGAACACAGTGAACAACAGATGCTTTTATTTTTTTTACAATAATAAAAAACATTTAAAAAAAATCAAGCAAAGAACTTGATTCACTACTAGAGCATCAGTTTGTCACTGACACTAGTTGTCAAATAGGAGTATTCACAGATCATATATATACCTGAGAACGAAGAAATTCTTTCCATCTGCAGGTCACTGCCCTAAGCAATAAGTGCAACAGCTACCAGATTTTCATGGTTTAAGTTCCCTGTAGTTCCCTGTGTAGTAAGAGGAAGAAGTGGATACTTCAAGCCTCAGAAAAATCACATTAAAATATTTCCCAATTGAAGGCAGGAAATAACTGTTTTTGTTATTTCCATTTTATTAATTCTATTCACTTTTATTTTTTCCTGTAAGCTTACTGAGCTCACAGTCTTCAAGCCATAATTCAAATGTGAATGTATGGAAATGGGTAGGCAAACACTATCACTGGAGTACACCATCAGAAAAAAAATAAGGTAAGCAGCTAGGACAATAGCTTAGGAGCATCCTATATTTACATACAGTGCTATGTCATCTAGTCTGCACATGGAAAGGAAGAAGAGATCTGCACTTTAAAAGGATCTAGACAGAGTTAGATAGATGTTTCTACCAGCTCCACACTGGATTAAGAAAGAAGCAGGCTTTGTCTATCAATGAGATATGTTCCTGCATCTCCTCGACAATACGCCTTGCAGTCATAGGGACTCAAATATCACATGCTTCCATATAGTTGTGGAGAGAATGAGTAAAGACGAACAGACAGAAAATACAAAGTGTACAGAATATACAATGCAATAAAAACTATCTAATCCAAATTAGAGGCAGCTGAAAAGACTAGAGCTCTCAGCACACAGAAATGTTCTTGGAGGGCAACTGACTGAACTTTTTTTCCTTGCTGAAAAGCTTTCTGCTGAAAGAGAACAATAATCACTCTCAGAATAATCAGAGGAGAAAGCAGTACGAAATAAACAACACTATTTTCTTTTCCTCCACTTCTCTGCTCCACTGAGTGTAACAGCATTTCTTGAGATAATTCCAATTCCAAACCTGTGAGGTGTCAATTTTTGTTTGTCTAAGCTATCAGTGACCTGAAGAACCCCAAAATGCCATATTAGACAACATGCATGCATTAGACAACAGCATGCTCATATCCTTTTTCTACTCAACTTATGGCAGTCCAAGTTCACACTGGACAGAAAATTGCATCTCCATAGAAATAAGAGAAATAGCTTTTAGATTTATTATCTGGAGTCACCTTAGCAAAACAAAGCTTAAGCAAAAACACCCCCAAGTTACTGTGAATTAGGCATCACTTGAAATTAAGACATTGTAAGTATTGCTAGATTATAATTCCTCAAACCTGACACCAGTAACAGTTCCAATCAACTTTTTCTATAGCATATTTTACACTTTCTTTCTGTACTGCATAGTTGATCTCACTAAAACTTTATTTTTTTAGTGCAAGAAGGCATTTTGGTGTTTTATTGCTAAGAAGTACCTTTCTTTCAAACAGAGAAGGCACATATAAATGAAAGGGCCTCCGTACCAAATAAAGAAAGGTAATGGAACACAAGTAGATTTCCTTTTTCCTCCTCATGTCAAATAAACAGTACATTCAGTTCCATAATCTGGGTTGGGCTGCCTTCCCTCCCCCTCTCTTTGTACAGACTTAGGTGAAAAACTTTTTAGACATATTTCCCAAGTACGACTTTCAAGCTGGAATAGAGCCAATTAAAACAGGAAACTATTTGTAATATTTCTTTAGGTGTTCCAGAAACTCCAGCCTCCACCATAACTTTTTTCTGTGGTCTGATAGAACTAGACTTCATCATAAAGAGAGGCAAGAAAACAAACAACTAGTTGATGAACCTGAATTCCAACCAGCTACTGAGAACCACTGTGTAACTATTTCCTTTTTGTGTCTGGAACAGTGGCATGTGACCCATGAAAGAATGACAAGAATAATGAGAAAAGAAATTGCAGCAAAAGATAAAAGGGAAACTGGAAACTGACTAAAAGCATTCCACATTATTCAAAGTAATTCCCATTAAAGAATGAGGAACAGACACTACTGTTTGAGAAAGCCCAAATCAGCATTCTGTTCCTCTACTCCACTTCTCTTCCAACAATTTTTGAGAAAGACTACTTATTGACATACATATCAAGTGATGCAGACACAGAAAAGTGGCTAGGCATAAAAAAACCCCACACATTTCATAGAATGGCCTGGGTTGAAAAGAACCACAATGTGCAGGGTCACCAACCACCAGACCAGGCTGCCCAGAGCCACATCCAGCCTGGCCTTGAATGCCTCCAAGGATGGGGCATCCACAACCTCCTTGGGCAACCTGTTCCACTGTGTCACCACCCTCTGTGTGAAAAACTTCCTCCTAATATCTAATCTAAACCTCCCCCTATCTCAGTTTAAAACCATTCCCCCTTGTCCTATCACTATCCACCTGTTCCAGTGTGTCACCACTCTCTGAGTGAAACTTCCTCTTAACCATTACACAAACAGGACAATGAAGATGAAATAACACAATAAATATTGAGTTCTTGAGAATAAAACACTTGAAATTAAATTACGTATCCGTTTTACTACAGCAATACAAGACATGGATCTGGACAAATCTCAAAATTTAGAGAGAATATTCAAGTAATACTTGAATATTATTATCAAATACTTGAATATTATATTTCTACTCAGTAGCTTTGAACCAAATTCATAACTTTTTTTTTTTTTACACTTCACATAAAAGCTGTGGTTTAAAGCTAAAAAGGACAATAACTTCTGCCCAGAGTTTTCTCCCACTTTTCAACCTAATACTGAAATTTTCTTTCTTTAATCTGAACAGAAGACACAAGTTCGTTAGCTCAGTTTTTGTTTCTTGTTTTTTTAAACATAAAATTATATCAGGGGTCTAAGAACTGCTTTGACAAGAGGAGAGAACATCAAAACTAACAGAAATCCCTATTAAATTATCTGTACCATGTGAATATTAAAGAAGAGATTAACTGAGAGAACGGGGAAGAGAGGACGACTCAGGAGAAGTGATCCATAACAACTTTACTATAGAATCGTTGATGACACAACTACATTACTGGATGTATTAGGAATTCAGTTCACTGCCTCTAGATATTTTCCCCACTTTTTCTACTTACCTAGACCTTTTTGTCCAGGATTTTTTGCAAAGTTAAAAGTAAACTGATAAAAATCTTTGAACTTCATTGGATCCTTCAGTTCTTGTTCCAGTCGTGGCAATAGAGCTTTTAGTTTTTCTGTGGAGTCACACCTGTTGCAAAAGAGTTTATATTATTTTACCATTGGTTATTTTAAGGATTAGTTTCAGAGCATAACAAAACAATAGTTACCTTAAAAACAGGAGATCTTTTTGGAAAGCCTTTTTAAAAATATGAACAATCATATACCTTTACTAAAGAAATTGAGGTGGAACATTATACATAGATCTTCATAAGCACACAACATAAGCAGGATTCCTTTTGCAGTCTCTTCATGAGTTCATGAATTCAACAATAGATGTTATTCTGTTCTTAAAGCTGACTATATTAACCTCACTGGAACAGACTCTCCAGGGCAGTGTTCACAGCCCCAAGCTGCAGAGTTCAAGGAGCATCTGGACAATGCTCTCAGACATATGGTCTGAGATGATTTTTGGGTGGTTCCATGCAGAGTCAGGAGTTGGACTCACTGATCCTCACAGGTCCCTTCCAGTTTGAGATATGCCATGATTCTACAAGATCTTTTTTCCTTGCTGTACTGGAAGAATCATTCTACTTCTACCTCCCCAAGCCCATTGTTAAGGTTTTGCAGTAACGTGCCGCTGTAAGGATGACAGGACACTACTTTAGCAGCTGTTAAGCTCAGCACCATTACAAACAGCTTTTCAATGTTCTAATGAGAAACTGAGCTCAGGCCTTGCAGTTTGAACTACGCAGAAATGGATACTTACCCCAGCTCTGTCATGCCATCTACAAATTCCTTTTTACTGAATTCACACTGAGTAGCCGCCCTGAATTTCCACGCTACAACCAGAACACTGATACTGGCAGGGTCCAGGCTTAAATCATCACAGAACTGTTGTATTCCATCAATGCCAATTTTATTTTCATCTTGTGGGTCTGCAGTTCCAAATACAAAAAGGACAACTGTAATTATTCATAACAATAATTACCAATAGTCATCATCAGCACAGTTCTGATATGCTGCAAAATCCAAGTTTTTAGTTTTACTTAAGCTTCACAAATGTCTTCACTTGAAATCTAGTCCTAAGTACCTTGAAGAATAACAGTAGGTGAATCAAGTTTTCTGCAAGCTTCCCTAAGAACTGGCTTGTGATTATTTTCTACATTCCTCAAGTAACACTAACAAAACAGTTATCTTCTCTCTATAATGCTCTGTGCAAGACATGAATAAACAGAAAGAAATAAGCCTGACTGAATCTACAACACAGTTAAGCTGGTAAATTCTTCACAAAGCAATGAATTGATTGGTTAGCATGTTGTCAAGTTATTAACCAGCCAAACAAAAACCTACCCAGTAAGAATTTTTCCTGATAGTGATAGATGAAAACACACTACAGCTGTTTGAAGATCACAGTTGACTGAAGCATTTTTGGTTTTCACGTGTTATGAAGGTTACCACACCATGGCTCAAACAATGCCTCAGCATAACAGGGCCTCAAGCTAAACCTGATGTAGTTCTAAGGGAGGTAAAATGCCATTCCTATATATTTTGGGAGTAACTGAAAATCTGAAAGCAAAACGCATGTGTGCCAAAATCAAGGAATCAAACCCTTAATTTTATTCTTTAAAATCTTCTGAAAGTTTTGAGGTTACAATTTTAATGTGATCTGTGCTAGAAAGGTGTGCTGCTAGCCATAGCACAGACAGAAGATAAAGCGTATATGACACATATTACACTACAATTTCTAACAGGAAAAGTACATAAAATCATAGTTGATTAATTGTTAGAGTTAATTTTTAGAACACAAAGTACAATGCATGTATTCATATCAGATGGCCAGATTTCCAAAAGCATCATTACCTGGATCGCATATGTTCTTATGTGACTATCTTTTCCTTTTATTTTTTCTGTTCTTTTTAAGAAATGAGGTAAAAAAAATTAAATGTCAAAGAAACAATTCTGCCTTTAACCCACTTCCCAGTTTTCCTACCAAGCCTATCCAAACAGACACACCATTTTTGCAGTAAGAGGCAAGCGCAAAGAGTAAAACAAGGATGGAGCTTCAAGACTAATTTTCTGAGGGTTTTTATTTTACTGTTCAGACAGATTTCAAGCTGCAGTATTACCTGAAATGCTTTTTGATTTCAAAGCAAAGAAATACTAGTATATCTGAACTAAACTCTTCCAAATATTAGTACAGGATCACGTGTGTTCTTTTGCTGCACAAAGTACATCATCCACGTATCTTACAGCAGCCAGCAGCAGTAAATCAAGTAAGTTCCATAATAAGCTCTACTCCCCTGTCCACATATGCAGCTGACAAGATTTCCACACGGTAGGTTTCAAATGCTCTAAGTGTTCAATACACAACTTTGGTACACACTCCTGTAGAGTTCAAAATAAATTCCTACTGGAGAATCACACTTTTCTCATTCTTCTCTCAGTGCTGCACACACAAAGTGAATAGCAGAAGTCTTCGCAGTCTTTCCTCAGAGCTCCTTCAATGTGGCAGAGGGAAGAGCTAGAGTGATACCACCCAAATGACATAATTACAACAACAAAACACCCACAACAGGAGAAGAAAAGCAAGCCTTACCTTTGTATCGATTATACAATTGTTCTAATTTCTTCCTGTCTACTGAATTCTTCATGGATTCTTTGTAGTACAAATCTGGGTTCTGGAAGTAGTTGTCTGTTGCCACTTCTAGCTTCCATTCATTCTGCATCAAGCAGTATATAGCAGTCCTTTCCCCAGCTTGGGTAAATGCCATAAACTGGCGGACCTTGTCCTTCTGAGATGATTTAAGCTTATGCTTTGGGATGCAAAAGAAGCAGGGAAGTCAATGAAGCTAATCCAGAGGTTTGTTTCAGCATTCTACTACTAATGCCTATATTTAAAAGGTTTTAGTTTTCTTGCTGATGACAACCTTCACTTCAGAATTACAGGAAGACAAAAGCCTTGCTCTCCTGCAGTTAAAAAGACAGCATTTTCTTCTGCAAATAGGAATGACAGCATCTATACGTACATTTTTAACAGCAAAAATTCTGGCAGTAATCAATTTGTATTCCTACTTCACTGCTCACGTATGCAAGAGCATTTTTCTGTTCCGTAATATGAGCAAACACAGATTTCATCATACAACAATATGCCTATCTTTTGAAAATATGCCCACTGCTTATAAAAACAAGGAACCACGGAAGCCCAATGTACAGAAGCTCAGGTTCTGTACAAGTCCTTTGTAAACTGAAGAAAACAAAAATCTGCCCAGTGGTTTTCCTGACATTTTCCTAGCACTAATGGAAAGTTTCATCCTTTTAAATGATCACTTGAAAAGTCAGAAGTATTTCTTCCATATTTACGTAACTTCTGCCAACAGAAGACAGAAGGCCAAATGAAAATAAAGCACGTTCCAGAGACGTGCTGAATGCTATAATGAAATTAAGAAGTTCTCAAAAACATGACCTAAAACTTTAATGTACTCTGAAAAAAAAAAAAAAAAAAAAGATATTTATGCTATTAATACATAAACCAACAAAGCAGCCCATTATAGTGCTACACAGGAGTTTCCATAAGGAGTTTCTCTTAGCTCATGGCAGTAGCCATATCTCCACCACATCCCTATGTTTCTGGAGAACCCAAGAGGTAGGAGCATGGATTTTATGGGGAGAAAGTCTGCTAGTACCATGGGTCGACATAGAAGGAGGAGAAGGTAACTTAAATCAGTGTGTTCCAGCACTTCCTCATTCTGTGAAACCGCACACGGTCAGGTGCAACAAGGAAGTAACCTGAGAAAGCTGTCTGCAGTTGTTCTGCTGCTGAGGCCATGGGATACAGCAGAAAAGTTCAATGGCCCAGCCCCGTAAGTATCAGAGGAAGAGCACGGTACCAGCGGCCGGGGCAGCTCTCGGTGCCCTTCTTATCTCTCCTACACACATGGACGGGGACGTCTCCACTGCAGGTGGACCCGAGACAAGGGACATGTCACGTGAACTAGGTACGAGCTTCGGTCCTTCTTAGCACTTCTCAAATTTATACGAGCAGAAAGATGGAAAGCAGCTTTTCGAGGAAGTAAAGAAACAACCCCACTAGGGAAAATAACTACAACGCGTTTAGGGAAGAAAACCCTCAACAGCCTTTTGCTCGGCTACTATCGTCTCCTTCACCAAGCTGTCAGCTCTCGTTAAGATACCCCCGGACCGAACCCCGGCTGCTGCGAGGGCAGTGCCGCCAGAGCTCCGCGACAAGGGGCCGGAGCCCACGCAGCGGGGTCACTCGAGGAGAACACGCGGCTGCCCGCTCGCTGCCCCGGGAATTCCCGACGGCGTGAGACGGGGAACCCACGCGTTCTCCGCGAGGCCGGCGGGGCGTTTCTGGAGGTCGCGCCCCCGAAGAGCAGCCCCAGCGCGGAACGCGGCGGCAAAGGCCGAGGAGCAGCACCGCAGTTCCCGCAGCCCCTCGCCTCGGGGGCTCGAGGGCGGCCCGGCCCCGGGGACGCGGCGGAGGGACTCTGCGGCGGCGGGCAACGCAGCCCAAAAAAGGGAAAGGAACGCGGCGCCGTGCTGCGGCCCCGAGCGCCCGCCCCGGGTGACCTTCCCGCCGCCCCCGCGCGCAGCGGCCGCTCCCGACGGCTGCTCGCCCCCCGCCGCTCCGTCCCCGGGTCGCCCGGGCATGGCGCAGCACCCGGCAGCCCGGAGGGGCACGGGGGAACGGAGCGGAGGAACGCCCGCAAGGCGCGAGGAGCCGGAAAGGGAGCAGAGCGTGCCGCGCCCGCCGCCCGCTGCCGCCCGCCGCCCGGAACCCCCGCGCCCGCCGCCTACCATTTTACCACCGGCGCTTTGACCAACTTCACCGCCCGGCGCCGCCGCCGCCGCTGCCGCTACCACCAGCACCTCCCGCGCAGGCGCGCAGCGGCCCGGCCGGCGCCGCCTATCAGCGGCCGCGCTGCGGGGAGAGGAACGCGGAGCTCGGGGCTGCGCGCCCGCGGCCCTGCCGGCAGCGGTACGGCCGGAACGGGGACTACAACTCCAGTCGTGCACCGCGCCCGGAGCTGCCGGCACGGGGAGGGAACGGCTCCGTCCCGCGGCTCCCGGCGCGTCCGGACTACGCCTCCCATGCGGCTTTGCGCTTAAAGGCGCCGCGCCGGCGCTCGGTCCCCGGCGCAGGGCGAAGGGGCGGCCGCTGCGCGCCGGGCGAGGCTGCTGGCGCTGCCCTCTCGCTCCATGCTGCGGTCGCGTCCCGGCCGCTGCCGGCCCCGGTCCGTCCCTCCCTGCCGCAGGTGAGTGCGGCGGGCGGGCAGCGGCCTCTTTCCCTTTTCCCTTCGTGGCCGCCTCCCCCGTACCGCGCGGCGCACGGAGGGGGGCTCGCAGCTCCTCCTCGCCGCTCCCTTCCTCCCCTGCGCGTCCCCGAGCCGCTCTCAGGTGGGTGCGAGAAAGGGCCGGGCCTGGGGGTTGCGTGTTACCGCCGTGCGTCTGGGGGGTGGGAAACACACCGCCTCGGGACGGCTGCGAAGGTTCCTCTGCGTGGATGTCGCGAAGAGGTTCCGCACCGGAGGGCGGTGGGCACGGCCCTGGGTGCTGCGGTTCCAGGAGCATCTTTCAGCGCTTTCACACACGCGGTTTGCATTTGGGGTGGTGCTGTGTGGAGTTGGTTTGTTTTTAAATATTGTGAGATATTTTACTGTAACTAGCGGGGTTGCTAGCGCAACAACGCATCGTCGGTAGGGTAAAACTAACCTGTCTCAAGACGGTCTAACCCGGCTCGTGTTCCCTGTGTCAGTGGTCTTGGGGGTGCTGAGAGGTGGAAATGGATTCTTGTTGAATTTTATCCTGCCTGGATAAACTGTGTAGTTTAAATAAGTGCTTTCTGGGAAATAATCTTGTGAATGATGCTGTTATTACTGTAAGTGTCCTTATAAGTCTATTTTTAAATCCTGAGGACCAACTAGTGTTGAGATAATGCAGCCTCGAGGTTGGTGATCTAAACTGGCGGTGTGCAGAAGTCCAGGATGCCCTGCTCATGTTTTTTTTCATAGATTCCTAGAATCGTTTGAGTTGGAAGAGATCCTTAAAGGCCATCTTGTCCAATTTCCTTGCAATGAACAGGGACACCTACGGCTGGATCAGGATGCTTCAGTGCTCCATCCAGCCTGACCTTGAGTGTCTCTAAGGATGGAGCACCTACCACCTCTCAGGGCAACCAATGCCTCATCACCCTTATTATCAGAAACTTCTTCCTTATATCCAATCTAAATCTCCTCTCTTTTAGTTTGAAGCCATTTCCCGTTGTCCTTTTTTTTCCTGTAGAAACGTTTCTTGCCCGTGCATATAACATATAACTTAATCTCTTCCAGTTAAGATTTGTTTTGTTATGTTTCATGTAATTGAATGTGTTGTTGCTTCTAAGACTGCATAAACAACAATTGGATGTGATACAAATTGTTAAGATAAAAACTATGAGAGGTTTACTGATGTAAAGGAAGAATGTGTTCTGGTGCTGGGTTGAAGTACAACGACCAATGGCATCGTGGCATAGTATTTTTAATGACTTTTCTTTAAGAAGAAGCACAAGTTAATATCATGTGAGACGACTAAGCATTCTGTAGAGTGTTTTTAAAACAAGGTAATCTCTAAAAAATAGGCAAGGAGAGAACAAATTATTATCAATGACCTTGGGCTGTTTCTCAGTTTTGCTAACATTGACTGAAGGAGGCAATCTATGTTATATAAAAGATTGCGGTGTAAAATGAAGTCTTTGGTTTGCTTTATAATTTGTTTATCCAGCAGCCCAACATGACCGTGTTTGATAAATGATTGGTACTGTCTTGCAGCAGGTGTGTGTCCTGGAGATGCAGAAACCATGTAGCAGAAAGCTCTGAGCAGTTGTGGATTATCAGTTCTTCCCAACAGCAGTAAAAAGTGAAGAATGAAGGTGCCTGGATTTATTTCCCTGTGGACGTTGACTTCACTGCTTTGTGGCCAGTTAGGAAATACTGCAGAGCACGAAGATGTAGTAAAGCACGCAATCAAGCTGCATCGTGGGAAAGGAGCTGTTATTACTCAGCGAAAGCAGTGGGTGATGGAGAGCTGCAGAAAACTATCTGGTCTCCTTCGCCAGAAGAATGTTGTTCTCAACAAATTAAAAAATGCTATAAGAGCAGTTGAGAAAGACGCTGGGCTGTCAGATGAAGAGAAACTTTTTCAGGTGCATACCTTTGAAATTTTCCAAAAGGAGCTAAACGAAAGTGAGAACTCAGTCTTTCAAGCAATCCACGGCCTTCAGAGAGCTCTACAGGGTGATTACAAAGACGTTGTAAATATGAAAGAAAGCAGTAGGCAGAGACTGGAAGCCTTGAGAGAAGCTGCAATTAAGGTTAGTTACTCTCCACCCCCGCTGTGGCAATTACTAGAATAGCAATATTTTAATTTCATTATGATGCTTTTTTCAGTCTGTTCCCTACAAATAAGTAGATCTCCATGAAACTGAAGATTTACATTTTAAAATAGTTTTGAATGAAATTAGTTGTTGTGTTTGTTTTCATTAACAAAATTAGAATTCTGGAATAAATCTGAAAACTTAGTAGCAGCCAATAGTTATTTCAAAACGAAGCTGAGCATAATTGCGAGACCCACATCAAACACTGCGTTGAAAGAAGACAAGAGGTGAGTCTGCACACAGCAGAGTTGTGCTGTATAAACAACTTGGATTATCAGGATGGAAATAAGGCAACAAATTCACCAAATACTAAATTTTTTTTCCACTTGAGATGAGAATTGCTCATCCCAAACCTGCCATTCTGGCAGAACAACTCCTTTATTTTCTGTACTCATATGAATGTTAGTAAAATGGAAGTGTGAAATATTGGTGTCTTTTTTGTCTTGGTGTAGTATTCCTAGCCTAAGAAGTGCAGGTTTGGAAAATAACTTCTCCAAGGAAGAGATGATTGAGGGAACTTCACTGAGAAAAGTACAGGTGTGGAACTGGAGAGCTCAAGTACTTAATGGAAAGTTTGGGTTTTCAGGTCAATCCAGACCTGTTAGGGCTTGCACAGTCTGCCACCCAATCTGGTAGTGCTCAGAATGTGTACTGAAAGTCCTCCATTGAGAGTAAACGTTGCTTAGCTGACTTGGCATTGAAATTACTTGTTTCCTAGCTTCTGCCCCTCAACCACTGAAGAAAAATGCTAGGAATTTTCTTTGCACTTTTTTTTTCTTAAAGAAGAGGCTGTTCTTGTGAAAGAGAGCAAAAGGGAAAAGCATAGTTAAGCTACAGAGGGCAGAGAGGAGAACTTAGGCAGGGCAGCTGTCTGAGACACATGCAGGCCAGGTGAGGGGTGGCAAGGCACTGTTGTGTACAAGGAAGTGCAGTGAACAGTGAGAGGAAAGGCTGTTGAGAGTAGAAGTTGGGATGCAGACTGAGGAAACTGGAGCAGTCTGTGCAAACAAAGACTGGATTATGATGAATTTGGTAATGAGTAGCTTGGATCCATGTATGTTCCAGTGACTCAGGATGACTTTGATATTGGCAGTTAATGGCACTGCCAGCTTCTGCTGCATAGAAACAGTAGACATTGCTACATTCTTTTTCTTCTACTTTTTTTTTTTTTCTGAGTTCTTCACATAGCAGCAGTGAAGCCATCTGTAACCTTTTGTCTCATTTACCTAATTCTTGGCAGCAATATGATTGTAAAACAAACAGAGGGAGATCTGTAGTAGAGCTTGAATGTTGCTTCTTCTTTTCCTTCATAAAAGGAGGCTTCTGTGTGTGGTGCTGTTTTAGAGGTGCATCTTGTAAGAGCTTAACTTTTGCAGAGGTGGGTTGTGTAGGTTTTTTTAGTATGTCAAGAGATTTATTCAATCAAGCAGTCTTTTATACCACTCATTATGCCACTTACATGATTGTTTAAACAGTATTTGTTTTTCTAACCTTGTAATTTACTTTATAATATGACATAAAGCAGGAGACGACGGGTGAGCATGTGCCAGATGAAAATGACATACATGGAGTAAATTTTTTGTTCAAAAGACATTCACACATCAGGTCCAATTTTCTTCCACTATGTTTTTGTAGTCATATGTTTTTGTAGTCATTATATTTTGCTGAGTTACTCATGAGATATTTTTCCACAGAATGGTTGAATGGAAAATACAGATGACTGTAGAGGATACAGGACTCACTCATTCACTTTATTTCTGCCAAGTATTTGAAAATTGCTGGTATCAGAATATGTACGTGATGCATTTCATGCTGGTTCTGCTGCTGGGAAAGAGTATGACAGAGTCATTCATGGCAGGAAAATGTTGAATCATAGAATCATAGAATAGCCTGGGTTGAAAAGGACCACAATGATCATCTAGTTTCAACCCCCTGCTATGTGCAGGGTCACCAGCCACCAGACCAGGCTGCCCAGAGCCACATCCAGCCTGGCCTTGAATGCCTTCCAGGGATGGGGCATCTACAACCTCCTTGGGCAACCTGTTCCAATGTGACACCACCCTCTCTGTGGAAAAAACTTCCTCCTAATATCTAACCTAAACCTCCTGTCTCATTTTAAAACCATTTCCCCTTGTCCTATCACTATCCACCCTTATAAACAGCTGTTCCCCTTCTGTTCGTCTGCTCTGCCTGAATTTGCTCAAGAAACTGTGGGGGAGTTCTGGAAGAAGCAGCAAAATCTTACCTACTTTCTATCTGCTTCAAATTTCTTGGGTGTCCACTACTTGTTCATCGATGGAAAAGATGAGCACTGCATAGATGCATCCTCCTCTGAATTTACTTTTTCATCTGTTAGTGAATAAACAGCAGAGAGCAGTAATGCTATTTTCTTAACTAGCGTTGCCTTCCTTTTGCACATATTGCTGAGTATTTCCATCTCGTGCTTAGTACAGAATCCTTACGTGTATTACCTTGCTTAAAACACTGTTTAGCATATACTTTGTGATCAAATGTCTCTAGTGCTAGCATGAAGCATGGAACAGTGTTTGCACTGTGGTGCTCCTTTGCATGATGTGTAGCAAGGTGTTTGAGAAAACATTTTCTTCTCATCAACACCATTCTCTGTTTCTGTTCCACTCAACAGCTACAGCAGTGGTCAGTGGGTAAAAACAGATACCACTTCCATCAGCAGCAAATACTTTTTCTCATTAAAGGAACTTACATTTAAAACCGGATTGTTTCTAGAGCTCTTCTACCTTGCTTTTCAAAGAGAGAAACCTGCTTCTTTTTCAAGGGCAGAAACTCTAATCCTTATTAACTCCACCTTGAATTCTAGGTTGTTGATTGAGGAGAAGAGTCTACTTCTCATACTGGCTGGGGGTTTTACAGCTTTTAAATGATGTCTGCTAACAGAGAACAAGAATAGAGAGACCATATCTTTCCTTTAGGCTGTACAAGAGTGATTGATTCTCACTTACCTGTTTCGTGAGTAAGCTGTTGCTGTTGGTCCAGACACCTTAGCAGTTACATTTTTTCCTAACTAGAGTTATTTTAGGAACTGGGGGCCTTTCATCATTCCAGTGTAACTGTGGTAATTACAAACGCTGGTATACAAGAACCATAATTCTGTGGTTTCGTCACAACCTGGAGCGTTCATCTCACTGACAAAAATTTTTAAAAGGGCTAAACACAGTTATAGACTGCTCTGAACGTAGTGTTGTCTTGGCATCAAGGAACTGTTTGAATTATATGCGTGCCCTTGGAGGTGTCAAGTGGAAAAAGGTCCATCTACAAATGTGCATGGAGAAGGAAACGCTTCATTTATTCCAGCAGAGGTGTTTAGGACCATTGTAGATGCCTGTGTGGGGAAAGCAGGCAAAACAAAAGGGAGAACTATTTCTATCTGATCTCTAGCTGGGTATGGCAGTATATCAAAAATAGAGATTGAAACTTTTGTGCTCTGAGTCTGACCTAGGAATTACTTGTGTTCCTTACCCCATTCTCTCTGGTAAGACTGGTAGGATAAAAACAGTATTCAGACACTGATACAGTGTCTGTATTGCTTTTGCAATGCTACTGGTAAGATGTTTTGTGTCAAAGAAGCACGTGTTAATATCAAACTTTTGCTGCATAAAGGCCTTGCTAGCACTTTATCTGTGTTCTGAAATTCAACAGGAAGAAATGGAATACGTTGAACTCTTAGCAGCAGAAAAGCATCAGGTTGAAGCCCTTAAGAACATGCAGCATCAAAACAAAAGCTTGTCAATTCTCGATGAAATTCTTGAAGATGTCAGGAAGGCAGCTGATAGACTAGAGGAAGAAATAGAAGAGCACGCCTTTGATGACAACAAATCTGTAAGTAAGGTTTTGGACTGTCTTTTCATTCATGTGTATTTGTATTTATGTTGATATTTGCATTGTAGGGGTATTTGTCTTGTATTAGATACCTATTAGGATTTTAGTCACTACTTTGAAAAAGCAAACAGGAAAAAACAACACCTTTTGGCTCTACGTTTGTTTTCTCTTCCCTTTTAAGAGAAGAAAGCATTTAGTAGTAGAATAATTGCTTGTTAAGAATGGGCAAACAGGAATCATTACTCTTTTTGCTGTAGATTTCTCTACTTTGATTTGGAAGTACTCCCTGTAGCTACCGCTTACAGTGACAAGTGTATTCCATCTTACTGTGACAGCTCATGGGAGTTACAGCCACACTGGGATGGTGATAGGGACTGTGATATTTAGACTTCACAGGATATGGAGTTACTGTGTTAAGTATAGTCTCCATTTTTATTTTTCTCTCTGTTGAGAAAGTTATAGGTGAACAAGAATCCTTGCAGTTAGTTTTCA